ACGCTGCCCCAGCCCGTGGTCATTGCAGCTCAAGTGAAACTCAGGGCAGGGGGCCCGTAATGACCACCAACTTTCACATAAACCAGTCCAAGGACGGTTCTCTGTCATTTGGAACATCTGTTGGGTTGGAAGTCCTTCTCCAAATCTGAGTCCTTCCTGTTGCAGGGAAAGCTGGTACTTTTCTGTGACCACCTCCTGTCCCTTCGGATGCTCGCAAGTCCTGCCCTTGGCATTCGCATCTTCACAGACCCCAGAAACCCCATCTAGCTTCCACCTCGGGGAAGGCACTGGGAAGCGTGCTTCGGGGAGGGCAGGTGTAGTGGGCTGGGGCTGACTGGCGGGGAACAGGGAAGGAGCTGTCTCCCTCCCCACAGCCTACAGGGATCTGCTGGGCCTGGGCACCCTCACAGCCCCAGAGCCAAGCAGTACAGACAGCCGGAAGAGGCTGCTTGAGATGAGAGTCGAATGGGGCCACTGCTTGTGGGGATGACAGCAGGGGGGAGGAGTGGGAGAATGGACTGTCACTGTAGGGTCTACACATGGTCACACCCAGCCACACACTTTGACTAGGCAGCTGGGCCCTCGGTGCAAGCCACCGTCCCATCTGGAGGGGATTAGGGCTCCGGCCAACAAGGTCAGGTGGCCCTTTTCTGGCTGGAGCCTGCTCAGCCTCAGGCAGGAAGTCTGAGGCTTGGGCAAGTGGAGCCGGGTCTGGGGGGCAGTGAGCGGGGAGGGGGGAGCTGGTGAAGCACAGGTGGCCTTTTTGGCAGCGTCAGCCCTGGCTCCGGAAAGTCTAGGCAGTTTGCAAAACCCTCTGCCTCCGTCTCACTGACCCTCACGGATGAGGTGACAAGGCAGGTACATCTGGCCGCCTATGGACAGATACTCAAGGCCCAGAGAGGGTCAGAGACTGGCCCGAGACCACTCAGCACATCTGGTTCTTTCCACGGTCGTCAGGGGACAATAAAAACCGCTGAGCCTTCTTCTTCCCCCCCTCCCAGGAGGTATAGGCGCGGCTGTGAAAGGGGGTGCATTTGGTGTCTCTTACCCCTCTCTAGCCAGTCCTCCCTCTGCTGTGTCCTCTTTCCCTTCCCCTGGTACCAGGCATGCACTCGACAAAGGGGTTTTGTAAGTTCAAAGGAAGGAGTTAGGGCCTTAACGGGTTAGGCTTCCGGGAGAGCTAGCATTTTCTGACTAGGGCAAGGCTCAACATCCGGCTTGCTCAGATACGGGCTCTTACGTCTGCTGCCCCTCTTCCCTTGGCCGGCCCCTCTTGGGTGCGCACTCTGCCCTACCAGCAGGGCTGTCCCAGAGGAGCTGGGGGCCAGCGCCAGGGGACACGGGACCTCACAGCTGGAGAAGTCACTTCACTAAGTTCATCTGTCTGAGCCTCAGTCGTCTTATCTAAAAAATGGGACAACCACCACCCAACTCCCAAGGCTGCGAGGTGACAACATGGGATGATGTATCATCGCTGAGCGGAGAGCCTCACAGATGGGAAGATCGTCTCAGTTCCTGAGGGAGCCAGCCAGGCTGTGCGGGAGGTGTAAAGGGGAGAGGGTTGGAGGGGGCTGAAGGGGCTGGCAGAGCAGGTCCTATATGAAGGCTCTCCCTCAAACCCCGAAATCATCTCAGGCCTGACTTCTTTGTTAGGAAACTGAGGCCCAAGGAACTTCCTGTGCCTCATTCTCCTCCCTGCCTGAGGTTACTCATTCGTCTAACAAAGATTTATGAAGTACAGACTACGTGCCAAGCTGGACCGGACTAGGCTCTGGTGAGCAAAACGGATGTAACCCTTGCCCTGAGGGAACAGAGAGCCTAGAGGGGCAGACAATCATTTCGTGACTACACACCTTAACATCAAGTGCTATGAGGGTCCAGATTCTTGTCTGGCTCAGGACAGTGTCCTCAGCATGTTGACACATGGTAGGCACCGCGGTACTTGCTGAAAAAGGGCGCTCTGAGGGGGTGATGGCAGGACCGAGGCTTGGAGGGTGGGAGTTAAAGATGGTTTCACCCCTCCTTTTGCCTTCTCTGTAGGTCCTGCCTCCTTCCTCCCCTTCCCCCCTCAGGCGAAGAGAGCATCTCTGACGCGACGTCAGAGTCTTCCGGTGCCCCCGCCCAGGGATCAGGATACCTTAGGTGGCAGGTCACCCCGGGTCCTGAGGCCAGGGGAGTAAATGTGTGTCTGCCCCACACCCTGCTCCCTCTCTGGGTATGTTCTAGAACAGAGTTCAGCTCAGAGACAGAGGTGGCCTGGATGATGGATGGAGGTGTAGGGCCTGCTGACCACCAGGAAACCTGACCACTGGGCTGGGCGAGCCTTTCTGGGCTCGTTGTCCCCTCTGCAAAGAGGGTATGATTAAAGGTATCACTACCTCCTGGTGTCAGCCCTGGGGCTTTTTGACCCTGTTGGGGAAGGGCAGCCGGACTAGGCAGACTGCCACCTGCGGGAGGGAGGAAGGTGTCAGACACGTGGAGTGAACCAGAAATAGGCCCCTCTCCCAGAAGACCGCTGAGAGTTCAAGCCTGGCAGGGCACACGCGGAATGAGAGCAGAGACTCCCGCCAGGAGGGAAAGGCACTTAAGGGATCGGCTCATTAGCATGAAATGCAAATGAGCTCGGCCTCATTTGCACAACTCGGTGCCCGGATTCGGCGAAAGGGCAACCGGGAGGCTGCAGCGGCGTGGCCCTCCCCTCTGCACTCCCTGCAACGCGCCCTCCAGGGAGCTGAGACACCCACCCCAGGCGGCCCGAGGCGCGCGGGGGCTGCGCGGGTGATGCAGCCTTGGAAGTTGGGGAGGGGGGCGGGGGCGGGAGGTCACCCTGCCTCCGCCTCTCCGCAGTGGTGTCAGCGCCCCGAGAGTCTCAGGACAAAGAATTGACTGACCTGCTTGGTTCCGCCGCCGTGTCTACATTCCCAGAGGTGGGAAGCGCTTCCCGACGTCTAATGCTCGATGCCCTCCGCGCCCCACTTTCACTCCAGCGCCCAGCACTCCCGCGGCGCTCTGCTCCCGGGCACCTGCAGCCTGTGGGGCGGCGGTGGGAGAGGGCTGGAGCTGACTGAGCCCGGGGACTCGGGGAGGTGGGGCGCGGCGAGACCCGGCTGTGCACGTTGCGTGTGCGCTCACGGAGAGCCGCAGACCCTGGAGGACCCGCTCCGGGTAGAGCGGAGGTGTGCGGACAGCCTCCCGGCCATACTGGAACTCCAGAGGGGAAAACTGAGGCACGGAGTGGGGGGAGGGGAGGTTGGTGAGACTTTAAAGCAGGTCAAGACTCAGAAAGCCCAGCTCCGTGCTTCCACCCCCTCTCACACACTCGAGGCCCCCGCAGGTCCCTTCGCGGCAGCCTCTCTTTGCTCCTCAGCTGCTCTGGGGGACCTGGGCCCTGGGACCGGCATGACCTGTCGGAGGCCACGTGTTCAAGCGCGAAGCCCCTGCGGGAGATCCACAGCCTTCAAAGGATCTCTAGGGGCAGAGGGGATGAAGCTCAGGACTGTTGACGTGAGGTCAGGGTCGGCGGGTCAGGGTTAGAAGGTCAGGGTCAAAGTCTCAGAAGTGGACCTGGGAGAGGGGTCTACAAGACCAAGAGGTTGCTGGAAACCACGCCCAGACCTTGCTCGCCCGGGACTTCCCTTCGCTCCGCCCATTTCCCCCAGACCGCCCCCCCCTCCAACCTGAAGCCCTACCCCGGGGACATCCTGCTCCGCTCCTCCCCTTCTTCGGTCCTGCTCCCAGGTTCGACTCCAGGGTGGGCGAGTGATCAGGTGGAGACCCAGGATTTCGCTCTGGGATCCTGGTCACACCCCACAGCCCGGCTGCCAGCCTCTCTTCTTCTCCAGGCCCGCCCAGAGCTGAGCCCCACCCTACGGCTGTGGTCCAATTTTAGGGGTCGTGGACAAAGGATGCCCCGGGGCCCGCAGCGCTATCCCAGGACCCGGCGCCGAATACTCTGATTCCCCGGGGCTCCCTCCAGGGGAGTCCCAGAGACCCCAGCGGCCAATAGGAAAGTGGGTTCGGTGTGGGTAGCCGTCTAATTGGCTCTGGCCTTCGGGAGCGGACCCAGGGGCAAGGGGAGGGGAGAAGGGCGGTCCTGGGCTTCGGGGTGGAAACCGGATTCCAGCTGTGGTTCTCTCCCCCGGCGGCCCCGCCCGCTCTGCCACGGCGGCCCGCCAATGGGCGCGCGGCTCGGGGCCGGCGGCGCGCGGGGATTGGTCGCGAGGCTGGCTGGGGAGAGGCGGGGCCGAGGCTTGAAGTTCGAGTGAGGGATCCAGCTGTGGTGTGCGCCGGGCTCCTCGCCGCCGCTTTCGCTTGCTCGCTCCGCGTCTCGGCCGGAGGAGGAGGCAGTGGCGCCGGCGACAGCTACGGCAGCGGCAGCCACCGCGGCGGCTGCGGCGGCGGCATCTCCGCCTCCACCCCCGCCCGGGACGGCCCCCCACCGTCTCCCCGCCCCTCCCGGACCGTGAGCCCGCCGCGGGGCGGAGGAAGGAGCCGCCCCCCACCCCCTCCAAACCCCCCCCCAAAGAGATCCCTCCTCCCCTCCCCCCGCCGCCGCTGGCGCGGAGCCGGGACGATGCTGACCCCTTAGATCCTGCTCCAGCTGCGCCGCGGGAAGAGGGGGCGCCCCTCCCCCGTATCCCCCGCGCTCTGACCCCCTTCTCTCTCCCCCTCTCCCGGCCGCTTCGCCGAAGGTAGCGCCGAATCGGGCGACCGGAGCCTGGGCGCGAAGCGAAGAAGCCGGAACAAAGTGAGGGGGAGCCGGCCGGCTGGCCCGGGGGGCCCCAGGAGCCCTGGGGAAGAGGGACTCGCGCCGGGCGGGGCTTCCCTGCGACCCGGCGCCCCGCGGGCAGCATGCCCCTGCGGGCAGGGGGAGCTGGGCTGAACTGGCCCTCCCGGGGGCTCAGCCTGCGCCCTAGAGCCCCCCAGATGCGCCCCCGCCGGGGCCCCCCGGTGGCGTGAGGACACCTCCTCTGAGGGGCGCCGCTCACCCCTCTCGAGACCGCCCGGGGCCCCGGCTGGCCAGAGGATGGACGAGGAGGATGGAGCGGGCACCGAGGAGTCAGGACAGCCCCGGAGCTTCATGCGGCTCAACGACCTGTCGGGGGCCGGGGGCCGGCCGGGGCCGGGGTCGGCGGAAAAGGACCCGGGCAGCGCGGACTCCGAGGCGGAGGGGCTGCCGTACCCGGCGCTGGCCCCGGTGGTTTTCTTCTACTTGAGCCAGGACAGCCGCCCGCGGAGCTGGTGTCTCCGCACGGTCTGTAACCCATATCCTCCAGGGCACGACGGCCGGGCTGGGGGGTCCGCAGGGGGGCGGGCCGCGCCGGCGGAGGGGACCGAAAGCCAGGTGAGTCGGAGAAGTGAGCCTCGAAGGTGGGCATATGAGAGGGGGGCTGCTAAGGGAGGGAGGGGGCTTCAGAGTGGGAGCAGAGACGCGAGCAGGTTTGTCTGATACCCCAGACGAGCCCCACCTCGGTACACACACCTCAGTCCTCCTTGGGGGGCTGGGATCCAGGCCAGGAAAAGAGAGGAGACGTGCCCCGCTGGTTTGTAGCTGGATGCTCTCCAGATGTGGGCAGGGGAGGGTCGTCATCCTCCAGATGTGGGAAGCTTCGGGAGCCTGGGAGCTCTACTCCGCCCGCCGCCCGTTAGCGAGCTGGGTTGGGTTTCCGAGTTTGGGGGGGTGGGGTGGGGAGGAAGCTGCGGGGACGGGGGAGGGGGGGCTGCGATCTCCTGGGTTTCCCTCCTGCCCCCGCTCCAAAGTTTGAGGTGGATTCTAGGGTCTGATCCCCACCCTCAACCTGGTCCTTGAGGCTGGGGTTTTTACTGACCCAGAGGGAGATGTTGGGGGGCGGGGACCAGGTCCTAACTCCCCCACCCCCACCCGCGGGTTGGAGGCACAACAAGGAGATTCCGGCGGCGGCTGATGTCAGGGGCGCAGAATGAGAACAAGATGTGGTGGTGAAGGGGAAGCTGTCTGCCCCCAGAGCTGGAGTAGAGACCCTTTCAGCTGGAGCCCACTGCCCGGTGCCTCCCTTCTTCCTAATTCTTCATTCAGCGCCGGGTGCTTTGTGTTGGGGTTGGGGAGTTTTGTGCTAGATTTTTGTCTTGTAGAGGGAAAGACTGTGGCGAGAGCTTTGGTCAGCGGGGGATGGGATTAAGCCGGTCCAAGTTATTACCCTGTCACAAATACAGAGTGCTCCCGCTTCTCAGGTATGGGAGACCGCAGCCTCCGAGAAAGTACTGGGGGAACAGTGAAGCTGTGAGCTGGTTGGCTAAGGAAGACTCGGGTCCAGCACCCCAGGGTCTACCCCTTGGCTGGGTTTGTGGAATGCAAGCCCCACATTCCGGGGAGATCCATTTGGCACTGCTCTCTCTCCTCCTCCTGGTCTGGAGTGATAAGGGAGACCCCAGCCCCCTCAGCCCCCTGGCCTCTCCCCTTCAGCCCCTAGCACAAAGCGCCGCTTAACTAATGCAGGGCTCCCAGGCTCCGGGTGGGTCCCGTCACTGCCGGAAGGAAAGGAGGGGGGTGCGCTGCCATCCCCAGGCTTGACAGCTTCTCCTGACTCCTTCCTCTCAGCTCAGAGGCTCTTTTGGACCAGGGTGGGAGACCTCAGGTTTCCCTTGTAAACCCTAAGAGCCCAACCAGGACTCTGCTTTGAGGGAGGTGGGGGGAGCTTGGTGCCGCCCTCACTCTCCGCAGCTCTGCTGCGTCTAGTGCGCAAAGCAGGGATGTGAGCTTGGGTCCCCCCAACCCCCACCCTCTGCACCCCGCAGATCTTTAGGAAGCTCCCCCCATTACACCCTCTCTCCATCCCTTACCCCTTCTTCCTTTCTCTCTGAGCTGCAGAAAGAGAGAGGTGGGGGGTCTCAGAGGGCTCTGACTCCCCTACTTCCACACCCCTAGCCCCAGGCCCCTTTCTCCCTGGTTGAGATGGACATGGGGAACTAATGTCTGAGAAGATGGGCTCTGGGCTTCCCTCCTCTCTACCCCTAACCACCTACCCTCTCCATGAATGGTGAAAAGCCCCATCCCCCTCCCTTCCTCCTCGGGAGTCCAGAAAGATAGAAAGGTAGAAAGATCTTCTCTCCCCTTTCCCTCCCCCTCTAAAACAACCAGACCTCTCAGCCAGCATCTCCCCACCTGCCCTATCTCCAGGTGCTAGTGGACAGTCTGGGGGGCAGATTCCTTCCTTGAGGGGCTCTGGGAGGGAGCAAGTGGAGAGGGCTGGAATGAGGAAAGAGAGGTGGGACCCCAGTGCTCCTCTTGAGGATGGAGGAGCAGGCTTACATCTGGGGTGGTGGGAGTCTGGGGTGTGGGGCATTGGCATCACTAGGTCTAAGTCACTAAGCCTGGGTTGGCTGAGGATGGGTTGAGAACAGTTCCTTGGCCAAGGGGCTGCCTAAGCTGTGCCCCACGAATCCCATCGCCCCTGAGCATCAAGGGAAACCTGTATTGTCATTGCCAGAGGGGCCCTGAGCTGACTCTTGGACTTCAGTCTTTCCCTTTCTCTCTTTTTGGTATCAGTGAAGCTTCCCATGGCTCCCCAAGGTTCTCTGCACCTCTGGGTCTGAGGGACATAGGGACACCTCCCCCAATAACTGAAGCTAGTTGGATTTTTGTTGGCATTTTTCTCAGTCCCTCCTCCTTTAGCCGCTAACACACCCGGTTTCCTAGAGAGGAGATCTAGACCCAGGTAGGAAGTAGTGTGCTTGTGTGGGGGGAGGAGGGGGGGGAAGGGAGGGCAGCAAAAGGAAGAGAGGCTCCGAAGTGCATGTGCTGGTACTGGGAAGACCGGGGGTACTCACATCAGTAGGGCCCCCCTCCTCCCCGGTTATAGGGGAGCGAGTTGGACTTTCCAGTATGTGTTTCTTGAAGTGTGAGGGAGCGCTTGGCCCCTCCCGGGAAGGAGATCCTGAGCATTCCCTCTCTGGCTGTTGTGTCACATCTGGAAGTTTGTGTAGGAGTTTCTCCAAGCTCAGAGCCCAGCACAGCTTTTTCTCATTTGGAAATCACAGGCTGGCATTTGGGATGCCGAGAGGGGGAGTGGGAGGGGGGCCAGAGGGGGAGAAGGGAGCCTGCCAGGAGTAGGGGGAGGAGAAGGGGGAGGCCCGAAAGGCAGGAGCCCTAATGGCTTCCAGAAGTGAGTGTGAGCGTGTGACTGCATCACTGTGTGTGCGTCTGGAGGGGAGGGGGCACCAGGAATTTCTGGAGTTTTCCTTGCCACTGTCCCAGTGCCCCAAGTTTGCCTGTTTCTCTTACCTAGGGACAAATCTCCATTTTGGTCCTCAGAGGAAATGGGAGGGGGTGTTCTTCCTGTCTCCTCACCAATTCCCTCCTCTCATTTTAAAACCCAAGACTCTCCAGAGGGGATTCTGGGGAGGGGGGCTGGGGAATTGAACAGGACTGGGGGAGCAGAGCACCTTCTGGCACTCCTTCTGCCCCAGGCCCACCTTCCGGCTGGGTCACACACCCACTCTACCCCGCGGAACTGTTGGGGGGCTCCCCATCACCCATACTGCCAACTGGAGCCATTCCTGGGATTACCCCCGCCACTCAACACCCCCTCACCTCTCACTCGCTCCCGCCCCAGCCCTCACCCCACCCTGCCTGCCTCAGCCAGGGTGGCGACAGACACAACTGCTCACACGTGTGTGTGCGCGCGCGCGCGCGCACTCACTCACTCACACACACACAGAGTCACAGACGTTTGAATCAGATTTCTGGCCTATTTCCCCTTCCAAAGATTCCAACAGGCCGGCTCTCTTGTGTCTCTGGGTCTCACGTCTCTGTCTCTGGGTGGGGCCGGCTGCCTTTCTTCAGGCTTCAGTTTTCAGTTCAGCTGGAAACCTCTCTCCCCACACGCCCACAGGCTGGAGCGGAGGAGACCACTGGGAAACAGGCTGTGGGAGTGGGGGCTTGGCTGGGGGAATCCCCCTTTCCGTCTCCCCAGTGCCGGCCACACTGCTGAGCCCCTATATTCCACCCCACCCCTGGAACGCTGAATCCCCCCGCATAGATGCCAGCCTCTCCGTGGGGTGGGCGAGACAAGGATCCCACCTTCCCAACTCATAGTAGGAGGCCAGGATTCCTGGGCCCAAGCCCATTTCCTCCTCAGTGCTCCTCAGTCTCAGATTTCCAGGCTCCAGTTGGGGAGCGGGGCAGCTGGGTGGCTTGCTTCTGTTCTCAGTCACGCCTGAGCCCCCGTGCCCCTAGAGGTGCCCCAGGCCTCCTCCCTCCTCTCCCCACCTCCCTCTCCCTTACAGCTGCCAGGCTGGGCAAGGGCTCTAGATAAAGCCCCGCGGAGAGGACTCGGTTGTACAGAGAACATGCTCTAGTTCTCTCTCCTGGAGGGAGAAGAGGAGGAGGGATGGAAGTGGGTTTCTTCGCCCTGCCATTTCCTTTTTCTCTGCTTTTGATGGTGGGTTGTGGGGAGAAGAAAGAGCCTCCCCTCTCCTACCCACCTCCCCCTTTGGGATCCACTCCAGCCCGGACAGTTGCCATAGCAACAGTAGACATGTGACTGCACAGGTCTCTCATAGTCACTATGGCAACCAGTGTCCCCCGTTCCCTTGGTTGCCATGGGGATTTGTCACATGGTTTCCCCCCAACCTGATAACCTGTGGGTCTCCTGCTTTCCCTTCCCTGCATGAGGACAAGACAGCAGTCTGGTGAAGGGGAGTTCATGTGTGAGGGGGTCCCTTTAATTGCCATAGCAACAAATCCACACCACCTGGTGACAAATCCTCCTGTTGTTATGGCAACAGAGGAACATCACACGGTGACATAAGGCCATGTTCCCAAGGAAACGAGCCCTACCCTGAGAAGGGTGAAAGACCCCCATCCTCATTAATTATTTCTCAATTCAGATTGTCCCAAATTTCCCTGTGCCTTAGTGTCTTCCCTGTCCATTGAAGTTTACCTTTAGGGAAAGGGGAAAGGTAGAGAGCGGATAGAACGTACCTGGGAGTGCACTAAAGTGCCAAGGGGGCCCCTTGAGAAGGGGTTTCCGTGGTTAAGAGCTGGAGATGGGGTTTGGAGGCAGAATCTAGCTATAAGAGGCCCCCATGTGAGCACGTAGAAGCTGAGGACAGAAGGAGTCCCGGCTCCTCTGTGGTGTCACTTCTGCCCCTCCCCTCCATAGTTATCAGTTGATCACTGTTGGGGCAAACAAGGCAGGAAAACATGAATGGGGAGATACACTGGCTTCTAAGCAGGGAGATTGATGATTGATCAGTTCATTTGTTCATTCGTTTCCCGCACGTATTGATCATCTGCTACATGCCAGGCACCACTGTCAGCTTTGTAGGGGATGCGGAGTGTCTCAGAGTGTCCCTGCCTCAGCGAGGGAGATGAGACCAGTGCACACAGATGGCATGACGGAATCACTGCTGTTCGAGGGGTCCAAACAGGTGTTCCGGGAGCCCCTCTTCCCAAGAGAACTACCCACGGTCCCCCTTGCAGCGATATCTGCTCACGTGGGTCCCTTCCCTCCAGAGGAGAGGAGGGGGCTAGCTTGGGAAAGCAGACCAAGCCTTGAGGGTAATTGTGTCCTTCCCTTTCCAGAGAATCACCCCGAGGGATCTCCCTTCCCATCTTCCTTTTCCCAGGGTGACCCCTGGCTGACCCCCCTTCTGGGGAGACATCCACTGGGCTCAGGCTCCACTCTGGAAAATAGCTACATGGAAACAGAGCACTCTCTTTATTTCCCCCTTTCATTTACTTACCCCAAAAACCTAGAACTATTTTTTTTTTTACTCTTATTCTTGTGAGGAAGAGGCGGAGGCATGGGAAATTGCAGTACCTTGGCCTGTTTGGGTGCCTGTCTGTGGGAAGGGAGGTGAGGGCAAAGGGCCTAGGTGGCAGAGAGGCCTGGGAAGGGATTGAGGGCGTCCTGAGCTGCAGGGTGGCCTGAGGTTCAAGACAGAGACGGGGGGAGGGGGTGGCTGAGACCAGCTGGGAGGAAGGTCCTGGGGTCCCCAGACAGAGCCTTCTCACTCCAGAAGTGAGGTTGTGACAGGAAGATTCCGCCTGCTCTAGGCCCTCTGCGCCCCACACTCTGGCTTGGCGGGTCGTGTCATGGGCTGCCGGGACACCCTCCCCACCTTCATCCCTGAGGCCCCTCCTTTGCCCAGTCTCCACTTTCTGCTCCCTTCTGTCCTCTTTGTTCTCCCCACCCCGTATTTTCTTTGAGAAAAAAAGAATGCTAGGTCACTTATCTGTGAGTCCAGCGTCCAGAACCTTCTAAGGTCCAGTGGCCACTTTGTACATTCTCCTGTTGATGGGCTGGAAGTGAGCCCCTTAATAAAATCCACTACGTGGAAAGACTCGGGGTCTGTGTGTGCAGAGTACTGTCTACTCTGCGTGGGCTGGGGACTCATATCTAGCCCAGGGCAGTGGGTCCTCATTATTTAAATGTGGGAGTGTGCCTGGAGGCCATCTGAGGGCTCCGAGGGGCCAGGGGGCGGGTGGGTGGTGGCAGCGTCTGGCCCCGGTACTGGGGTGAAGGAGAGCTACCACCGTGGACCCTCTTGCCCGCTTCTGCCCGTCCGCCTGGTGCCAGGGCGCCCTGACGGCCCTCCCCTGCGCGCCAGAGCCACTGCAGAAAGAACTGTCCCAGATCAGGAGCTTGGACGCCTCGGTCTCCTCCCGGCTTCTCCCATGACCTTCAGTGCAGCGCTTTGGCTCTCCCGGGCCTCAGTGTGCTTGGGTTCCGGGGAAGAACGTGATCTACGCCGGAGAGCTCGCGGGGCTGTTGTGAGCATCAGATGTGGCATGGCGTGAAAGCGCTTGGTAAACTGTAAGGCAGGCATAATCCGACTTTAGGTTTGTGTCACACATTCACTACATTCTCTCATTTGCTTCTCACATCTTCCCTGTGAGGTAGGGAGCATAGGATTCAGATTCAGCAGCACACTCCTGGTGTCTGGCATTTCCGCCGGCACGATTGATTTTATCCCCCAAATGGCTTGTGCAAATTGTCAGGGTATTTGTGCCTTTTCCTACCTTACAGCTGAGGAGGCTGGGCCCGGAGAGGGGTTGGGCCAAGGTGGGCCTGGGCCTGGGCCGGGCTCGCTCAGACACTTGGGCCTGCCCTTTGCACCTGGCCCTGTCTCAGATGGGGGTGGGGGAAGGACAAGAAGCAGGAGGTGCGGGGGGGGCGGTGCAGGGGGGCACGGGCATGGCTCCAGCCCTGGCCAGCAGTTTCCTTGACGCCCCCCCCCGGATACCTGGTTTGAGCGCATCAGCATGTTGGTCATCCTTCTCAACTGTGTGACCCTGGGCATGTTCCGGCCATGTGAGGACATCGCCTGTGACTCCCAGCGCTGCCGGATCCTGCAGGTGTGTGTGTGCACATGTGTGTGTGTGTGTGTGTGTGTGTGTGTGTGTGTGGCGGAGTGTGGGGGTGGGCAGCTCCTGAGCTGAGTAAGTGCAGACACCGTCTCTGGGGGAGGCCCTGACCTCGATGGTGGGGGAGGGAGTGGGGGGGTGTCCTCCCCCCCAGTTTCAAAAGCCTCTCGTCCCCATATCAGGCCTTTGATGACTTCATCTTTGCCTTCTTCGCGGTGGAGATGGTGGTGAAGATGGTGGCCTTGGGCATCTTCGGGAAAAAGTGTTACCTGGGAGACACTTGGAACCGGCTTGACTTCTTCATTGTCATTGCAGGGTGAGTGCAGGGGCTAGAGGTGGGAGAGCAACAACCAGATCAGTGCCCACCCCAGGGCCCAGGGTTCTAGGCCCCAGCACTGCCGCCCCCCACCCCCGCCCCTGTGCCCAGCCCACTTCTGGCCATGCTTTCTCCCTGGCTGTCCACTCCGGGTCCGAGGCTGTCCTGCCTGGAACGCTCAAGTCCCTGCATCCACACCATCCTCTGTTCATTCCCCGATGGGGATCTGTCCTTGGCTTGGGGGTGGCCTTGCCCCCAGGGAGCCGGCTCTTCGGGGTCCCTTGGTGGAGGAGGGGGAGGAGTCAGAGGTTTGCTGCCCCACTGCAGCAGGATTCCTCATTGACCTCTTTTGACCCCCACGGCGGCCTCAGACTCAAAGGGCCTCCCTTTGGGCCCCTCCCTGCAGGATGCTGGAGTATTCGCTGGACCTGCAGAACGTCAGCTTCTCAGCTGTCAGGACAGTCCGTGTGCTGCGACCGCTCAGGGCCATTAACCGGGTGCCCAGTGAGTGATCCCTTGGCCCTCAGCCCCTGGACGGAGAGCCCCCAGAGGAAATATGGAAATCCCAGATCCCACCCCTACCACTTGACCACTCACCGGCCTCATCGGGGCCTGGCAGTCCGAGGCAGACCTCATCACAGAGGGGCTCAGTGGGGAGCCAGGGCCACTGGAGCTAAGTGGAGCCCCCCCCCCACCTGCCTGTGGCCCTGTGAGTCACCTGGAAAGACCGTCCCCCTTATTTTAGCCTGATTTGGGGTCAGAGTCTCAGACATGTGTCAGATGACCCCTTCCCTTCACCTAGAAGACCGCTCCCTGCAGGGGGATAGGGGTGAGTGGGAACAGCGTAGAGAAGCTGGTAGGCCAGGAGGGGTGGGTACAACGTGGAATGGCCTTTTCTACCTAGAACAGCCTCTCACGCAGTCGGGCTCTCGTCGGCGAGACCATACTAGCCACACTGAGCATGACTTGTCTCCAGACAAGGCCACTCCATGTCTCACCCTCCACCTGTATCCCCTTCCTCCTTCCTACCCCCTTCCAACCTGCTGCCGCAACTGACTGCGGGACCATTATCTAAATTAAACCGCATTGGTTTCCTGAGCCAGCCAAGCTTTGGCAGCTCCAGCTCCCCCTACATCCTGCCCCCCCAACCCTTGCTCCGGCCCCCTTGACAAGTCCCCAAACTACAGAGACTGCAAATGGTCTCCACTGCAGTCCCGGGAGTTGGGGGGGCCGGGCCATGTTTCTGGGGCTCTGTGCCTGATGTAGCGGCAGCCCCCCGTGCTGTGCGTGCGTGCGTGTGTGTGCGTGTGTGTGTGCGCGTGTGTATGAGATGCAGCTGCCTTTGGGTGGGCAGAGCTGCTCAGTGTGTCCTCCGGGCTTTGGGGCATTAGTGCTAACAGGAGCTGCAGACGAGGGGCATGCATGCTCTCGCCTCCCCTCCCACCCCAGGTGATGGTTGGCAGATTTATAGGCCTCTGTCTAACCACCAGGGTAATTCCCTTAATGCAAACCCCGAGGAATTGATCTCAGTTGGAGCACTGAGGAGCTGAAGGAGGATGGGGCTGGAGGAGGGGGTGAAGGACTGAGTGAGCAGGCCGGGCTGGAAAGCCCAGGCAGGATGGCTGCAGGCACCAGGAGGGTTAATTAGCTGCTGCTTAGACGCTTTTGCCCTGGAGGGGCAGGGGACCATGAGTGGCACTTCAGGGGTCAAGACCAGCCATTAGAGGTCTGTGTGCTTAACAAGGGCTTGGTGGCCTGGGGGTGGCTCAGACCACGTGGGGTGATGGGGTCCTGGGCCTGGAGTGAGGAGGGAGGGCAGTATCTCCAACAGGGCTTGGCGGGGCGGGGCTGTGGTGGCTTTCCCTGCAGAGGGACTTGTTAATGGAGAAGATGGACTTATGTCTCCTCGCCCCCAATGTGGGGATCTGCATCAACAGAGAATGGACTCGGCAGGGGGCTCAGAACCATAGTGAAGCTCAGGGCATCTGGACCCTTGCTGAGGGTCTGGCTCTCAAAATGAGATTCCTTCTTTGCTGACATTCCTCCTGGAGTTCTCTGCCTCAGTTTCCCCAATGACTGCAATGGTGCTATCTGATGACTTAGAAAGGTCAGGTGATTGTGTCGGGTGAGAGAAGGAGGTAGGAAGCGAGTGTGTGTGTGTGGGGGGGGTGGGAGGTGGGATCCAGAAGCAGAATGCTGGGCAGCTCTATGATACTGGCCAAGTCATGTCGGTCCTCTGAGCCTCCTCGAGCCTCATCTGTAAACCGAGATGATGTGGGGAGTTAGGTGGGGTGCAGTGCAGGAGACGGGAGCTTTGGAAACCTTGATCACTCTGGCTCATCCTTGGTGGTACCGTGCGCTGATTAATATGGATGGGCCAAGAGGGATAGTGGGCAGGGGCTAGGGACTGCCAGGCCTGCCTGTGGAGTTAGAGGTGTCTGTTGGTCTCCCCTCCAGCTTGAGCCGGGCGTCTCAGCCCCGGAAACCCCCGGAAACCCCGATGGGCCCCCTCTGGGAGTGTTGCCAGGCTTGTGGCAGCCAGCCTAGCCCGGCCAGCCTGGCGCCCCCAGCGTGGCTTCTGCCCCCACAGGCATGCGCATCCTTGTCACGCTGCTGCTGGACACACTGCCCATGCTGGGCAACGTCCTGCTGCTCTGCTTCTTCGTCTTCTTCATCTTCGGCATCGTTGGCGTCCAGCTGTGGGCAGGGCTGCTTCGTAACCGATGCTTCCTGCCGGAGAATTTCAGCCTGTGAGTGTCGCCCAGGATGGCGGTGACCCGGGAGTATTTGTGGGGCTGGGGGGCATTTGGAAATAGCAAAGGGTGGTCCTGTTTTTCACGAGGTCTAGGGGACCACTCCCGGCATTTGGTTGGGGGGCGGGGGAGAGATGGTA